ATTATTGAGATGAAGTCCACAAAAGCAGCGAAAATGATCCATGTGTCATATATGCTATAACATCTTCTAAAGGACAACAGAATGTCTGTGGACATAAGGATGATTATCATTAAATTTAAAAATCTGGAATAGCTGAACTGCACAGCATTCATACAAGTTACACTTCAGTTTGATGTTGACATAACCAGTGTATGAAATAAGCCACAAATCCAGCCAGACATCAGGGCTGGTAACTTCAAAATGTTACCAGCCCAAATGGATTTAACCAGACCAAATATGGTGAATTTACACAGATGTATAGAACATCTAAATTTTTTACCAGACCATCGGGCTGGCTAGCTATAAATTTAGACCGTCCGTCAGAAATCTAGACCGTCTCGGACGAGCCTTATTTCATACACTGATATAACATTTACCCATGTTTGCGAGAGGAGAATGTTTACATTCCCTCCACTGCACACAAAAATAAACATCTAGTTGGTCAAGTTGACAAATTTGTATCTTGCAATAGAAAACATTCCATTATCTTTTGCAACCAAATCTATAGAATGTGTCCTTAAAACACTTGCACACTATGTCACACTCCTTGTGTTAATTAAAATAACAAACATTAAACTATGAACCACAGTGAAATAAACACGCTTGATGAATGAAACTATCAACGTCAATATCACTTGATAACAGCAGCTCCCCATTACTGACCCTGTGTCAATCATGACCAGATGCAACGCAACTTGGAGTTTGATAAGTTAACAGCTAACAGACATAACAACAACCAACAAGCAGTGCTGTGCCAGGTCAAGTTTACCTAAAACTGCTGTTTACTCTCCCTGTCCATAATAAACAACCAAATAAACATACCAAGAGAACAATAGAACATTTCTCTCCAGCTGAGGACTGCGGTCAGGTGTTGCTTGCCAAATTTTCAAATACCACGTAGCACTCCGAGAAACAGGATTGTTAGAACTGAAGAACAAATCTGTTTAATGCTTATGTCCTGTTCCCATGATTATAATAAATCCATCTGCACTAAAAATATCCATGACAGAGCCTTCCTCATGAACAAGGTGAACTCTAACTGCACAATTCGTTTTCATTCAAATGACTAATTTTAGAAATTCACCAAACATGACAAGCACTGCTCAAACATAAACATAGGGTGGATTAACAATTTGTTTGCATGAATTTCCCAAGTAACTAGAAGAAAATTAAAATGATTAAGACAGGAAAAGTTATTTTTATCCTGCTTCAATCCTTCCTTGCTGTATTTACTGTTATGGTTGTCTCTCAGGCAACGGAAATCACCTGCCCTACATTTACTACATTCATGTTACCAGAAACATAAAATATGTGCTACGTGTGTCACTGACATTTCCGTTCGACCCATGATCCACACAGCAAACAGATTACTGAACGAACACTTCACTGACACAAGAGATGTAGCCAGTGATTGTGTTAGTAACATGAATATTACAGCACTTCCTCACATGGTCTGCAAACAAGGTCCCTTGTCATCCTTATGAAGACACACATGAATTACTACATCGTACATCTCAAATACCTCTTGACCATGTTGCCACTCTTCTTCTTGGAAAATAGAGGTAATCTATTGCGAAATAGATATGGCTTGCCCGTCAGTTATTGCAACAACTATCACATTGATTGTGGTCGTAGTGACATATTGACATATTTCTAGACGATTCTTAATCTTGTGTAGCCTTATCTTGCTTGTTACATTATGACCATAAATAAGAAACATTTCTATACATCATTTGTCACTGAGGAGAATATATATAATATATATCACTTCAATTATTGTCAAAGATAAGCTACGTATGTCGCATTATGTAGGTCACGACAAAACCTTGAACATACCTGTATTGAACCATGGAATGGGAGACCTGCTGAGACCCTTTCATTGAGACACAGACTAGGGACATTGCACCTCAGGTATGTGAATGTGACACTATATATATGTCGCAATACTTTGTTCATGCATGTCAAGGTACAGTTTTAGAAAGCTTGTGATATTGTATTCTAACTTTGATTTAACTATGATAACGGATGTAAGCAATTTTCAAAATCACCTGTCATCTTAACATCACATCATCAATAATCACGGTTTGAAATTAACATCAACCAGGAAGGCTGAGAACAAGTACAATTAAGAAAGACTAGTGATATTTCCTTAACATGGACGTATATGATAAGCAACAGATTAGTAGAATAGGTAGATGGTATTCAGCAGAGTAATTTTACACTCAAGTTAAAATACTGATTAACTGCTGACCCTGATATGAAAGTGTTCTCTTCAAAATATTCATCTATGACTCTTATTATCATGGTTATATCATAGAGTATGATAATGATTATGATATTCAATATTGTTTCCCCTATTAATAGTTTCTCAAACATGGCCAACATACAAGAAATGCATACATTCTAAAATACAGAAGTATATGAAATATTGTAAATTCTCACTCACCCACCCACTCATGTCTTGTGTCTAAAACATGTTTGGTTTTACCCTTAGAGATAAGCTTGCAAAAAAACACAAATCATCTATCGTCTATCATGACGATATGTTCATGCATCTTTTGATCAAAGATACATTTCTGACACTGCTTTAAAAACAACAAAACTGTCAACAACATTAAACTCAACCTGTAAAGAGGAAAAGTATTAAACATTCAAACACCTTTTACAAGTTTTATCCTGTTTAAATTACAACAATTCAGAGGCTAAGAACAAAAAAAGTAAGCGATTATTATGTTTTATGTTCACAACCACTAGAACACAGCAGGATCTGTTTACACATTCCACATCTCTGGGTAGAATAACTACATTTAATACAGGCTTGTGAATAAAAGGCTCCACTAAACAGGTCATGTGCTATATTTCCGACATGAGGTCGGGGCAGTACAATACATGATACAATACACAATACATACATGATCATTCCACTCACAAAGCAGGCATGTACGGTGATCATCCTCTTCCTGAGCACATGCTCTGCTCACTGTATCATTGTATATTGTCAACCATTGCTCATACTATCCAGTAGGGCCGTGTATTGGCAAATACATTATATTGCAATATATTGCAACACAGGTATATGTATTGTGATATGTATATCTATATAAAGTGATAAGTATTCCAATATATCAGGTGTTTGACAGTGATTGGCACATACTGTACAAGCAGATCCCAGGTTCTACATACTACTAGTTGAGTTGAGTTGAGTTTTACGTCGCATCAGCATTATTTCAGCCATATAGCAACAACACCAAGTACATACTAAGCTGCTAGACATAAATGTTATGGTTGTGATAACAGCAATCACAAAAATAGGTTCAAGAGTAACTGTTGTTGTTTGTTTTTTTCATGTTTATACTATTTACAGTATGTGAGGTGAGGTGAGGTGAAATTGGGTTTAACGTCATGCTTGAGAATATTTCGCTCATATGACGAATTTACAGTATGTAAAGTGTGCTGTGTAAAGTGTGTCAGTGAATAGGGCTGCGTAATATAACCGGTTTAGCGGTATTGACCAGTTCTGACATGAAATCGATACGTATTGCGATACGCTGATCAAAAACCAGTATTTCGACATGCATTCGGAAAACATTGTAACACTCGGAAATCTTTGGATATTTCCGTTTTTCACACTGGAAGTAATGTTCGGTTTGAAGTTGTGTTCTTAATATTTTTTTTTCAGATGTTTCGCAATTTTTGGATCTGAATGTTTTAAGTCTCAGGGCTTTTTTTGAGAGTGGAGAAACTAGTTCAAACTAGTAACCACTGTGATGATGTTAAATTGTTCTTTTCCTTGTTTCATCATGATTACATCTTTTTATTAAAGCTTAATCAAGCATAGTGATTTTGTTGTGTTTTAACCTCGATCATAAGTAGATTTTTGTTTTAAAAACTTTCTTGCAATATATTGCGATACCTTGATTTAGATTATTTTGTATTAGGAAAGCAGGACAGATAGACCTCAAAGGTTGACTTTTTGGCTCTTTTGCTAGGGTTATACTGGGACTCTCTATTATCACGGGCTCTGTATTATCGCGACATGCGAAAACATCGGGAAAGCAGAAACACCACGCCCTGCATCTGCTGTTTACATATGCAAATTACGTAAAATATAAATAGTAAAGCATTCATCTTTTTAGTAAGTTCTGGAACATTTTGAAACTAGTATGACCCCTACTGCCATCACATCTAGCATGAATCAAAACTTACTTCGTCAAGAGTAATCCTACGACAACTATAAGTTCATTTGCATATTTTCATATTTGCGATATACAAATCTGCTTGCCCGACAGAAAAAAACCCACTGGACTGGGGCGTCGGGCAATGGGTTATTTCCACCCTGCCTTGTATCCAAATGAATAGAAGTTTCAGATGTTTGGGTTAGAAACATGATGAAATTACTAATGTGAATGAAATTCCTAAATATTTTTAATGATCAAACTATTTATATTCATTACTTGTCTTAGTAAACGTTTCACAGTGTTATCTGCTTGTACCTTGTGCCATAGTAAGAAAATAGCAATACCGTGATAATAGGGAGTTGCTTCATTTTCCGGGTCAAACGAGACAATCGGAATTGCCGCAATGGTATTAAAACAAGTTGCGACTATGTGTCACATTATTTGTGACAGAAATGAAGATTAAACATCAGTCAACACAAAATATATATAAAATGCTAAATGTCAGTAGCCGTTCATAATCCTGATGGCGACAACATTAACTACCGCTATAATAGAGGGTCCCATGATACTTTTATTGGCATCAAAGCAGTATTTCAGAACCCTCTATTATTTTGTGTATCTCGTCTTCTTTCTATTATGATATACGCTGGAACTGCATCATTTCAGAAGTGACATCACCAACTCATCACAATTTAGCTCAGCTACTTAGCTAGATAACTCAATCTGAAAGAAAAACCCATACCATCAAATGTAAATCAGGGATAAAAACAAATTTTAACTAACCTGGTGATGTATCCTTTTCAGGACTGAAAGACATGAGGTCAGACGGTGGAGGTCTAGGTGGAGGCCTCCTGGGTGCATTGGGAATCGATGGCCGAACAGGAGCAGGTCTATTTGGCATCTTCGGTGGGCCTTTCGGCACTGGAGGAGCAGGCCTAAGAGGAATTGGGTGTGGTTTTGATGATCCTGCAGACAAAGGTGTTGCCTTGGCTGGTTGAGCAGGTCGGGGTGCTGAGGGTCTTGGCGGTGGCGCTCGGAGTGGAGGTACCCTGGTCTTTGATTTAGATCCTTTTACAGAAGGCACAGGAGGTGGTGGACGAGCTGGTAGGCTCATTTGAAGTGTATGTGGATCATCATGATCCTTCACAAATGCACTGTTGATGAACCCATTGGCATCTTTGGGCTTGGGTGACTGTGGAGGAGGTAAGTCTGTATTAAACTGATAAGAATTGTCACTAAAATGAACACTTTGATCGCTATTTTGCTGAGACACTTCACTGTACTGACTGGTAACACTGGCATTGCCTTCATGCACAAGCTGATCTAGACTGGCTAAATCTTCAAAAGCATCACTCCCAGGTCTTGAAGACTTATCAGAAATGATGCTACCAGGTCTGGACCTTTGGACATTGGACTCTGTCAAAGAGTCCTGTTTCTTTATGCTTCCAGGTGAAGACTCACTGCTTCTGGTACTGGAGCTTCTGGACCTGTTCAATTCATCTGATTCTGTTTTAGCACTCGTCAACTGTTCTTCTATCAGAGAGTTGAGAGATTTGGATGTATTGATTCCTTTGAACACATTCTTCTCTTTAGGAGATGAGACATGCCCTACACTTAAACTGGTGGACATTCCTGAGGGTTTCTGTGTAAGGTTTAGGCGTTAACACAATTGGCTTAGGTTTTATCACAGGTTTAGGTGCCAACTTAGGCTTCACTGCAGGTTTCGGTTTTAACCTGGGTTTTTCAGTTGCAGGCCGTGGTGTTGAAGATTCTTCATCAGTTCCATCTTTTTTCAATTTTTCAACATCTTCCTTGTGATTGTTGATTTCTGGTGTCTTTTCACAAGATGTATCAAGATTTGAACTGACACCATTTTCCTTATGAATGGGAACAATGGGTTCACTAGTTTGTATCACATTGTCAACATCAGATGGTAAATGTCGGGGTCCTTCTCCTATCACCTGCACATGATTTAAAGGCACAAGACCAACATGACCAGTCTCATCTCGAGCTTGGATCCAATTTCCATCTAAAATCTGAACAACTATCACAGTATCACCCTCAGAGACTTTCAAATCTCCATCCACTTCTCCTTCAAAGTTATGCAGGACCAAACCAAGCTGATCACTGTCTGTGCTTCCTATGCTGCAGCTCTCAGCCAAATCAGAAGATGCTGTTGCAGGAGCTGATGATGATTCTGTAGGAGCTGAATATTGCTGAGCTGGAGAGTCTGGCTGAACTTGCCCCAAGTCCTGGATCTGTCCTGTTTCAGCATAAGGACAGTCCACAATGATTTCAACATAACCAGCCGGGAAAAGTCCAATTCGGCCATCCAACTCACCCTCAATCCACTCTGAATCAACATGCTGGATGAGTGTAACTATTTCATTGGCTGCAAATGACAGCTCATCCTGAGACTGGCCCTGGAAAGCGTAGATTGTACGAGCATAGGGTGTGATCTCGGTGTCGTATGATCGGGTGTTCTCACTTGAGAACGATGAGACATTTAGTTGATTTGCTTGAGAAATTTCATTACCCAAGGCACTAGAAGTCTGATTCTCCTGAACATGATTCTCTGTCGTATGACCAGCATTTGACTCTGATATTATTACATCTTCTAAAAGCTCAACACAAACAGAAGAGACCAGCCCTTCTTTACCACCAAACTGTCCCATGTACCAATCAGAGTCTATAATCTCTGTGATGGTTATAACATCTCCAATCCCGAACCCAAGTTCACCATCTATCTGGGGTGTAATGTCCACCATTGCTCTGGCACAGATTGGTTCCGATAACGAACCCTTCTGTTGACTTGACCGCTGGTCAGCTTTAGCAGGAGGATCAAGCAGCTCTGTGACACAGGTGAGAGGAAAGATCCCTGTGTTACCTCCACAGCTTCCCTGCCACCAGTTGTCATCCAGCTGATGCAATCCCACAATGATGTCTCCTGTGGAAAACATGAAGCATGAAGCAGACGTTTCCCTTCAAAAATAGTGTAATTAAGGCCAAACAATCATAGTTTGTTTTGACACTTCTTACCTTGAATGCAGTGGGGTTAAAATAGTTGCTCATTACAGATGTTACTTCTAATGTTATTATTTCTTAAGCACATCAGAACCCTTTTAAGACACCACAATAATCTGTAGTGTTTCCCCTCTGCATATTTATTTGGCGCCCTGCCCTTTTTATTTGATGCCCTGCTCTTGTTTTTAATATAATAATTGATGGTTTTTAGCTTCTATTTCATGTTCAAGGTAAGTGAAATAACTGTGCTTTTTGAGTCTTTAAGAATCATTTGCATGAATAACTTAACATAATACTTGGAAATCTTCATTGCATGCTCTTTTTGGAATAAGTGTTCCCCTTTTGAAATTCTGTCGCCCTGCCCTTTTTGGATCCTGGGTTAAACACTAAATCTACAATGTACTTCTTTGGTGATTATAGTGTATGTCTCAGACAAAAGTAATACATTAAACTTTGAAAACTCCTCCATACCTTCATTTATGTTCTTCAATACAACATATTTTTATGTCAATGAAAACACCTGCTATCACATTTTGACATATAATCACATTTAAGCATTTGGCTCACTGTCAGGTACCACTATAATAGAAGATGACAGTTATGACCAATATGTTTCCAGTATACTGTATGTGTACACAATTCATGGTTAAGGTGAGCAAAACAGAAATATCTCTGTAGCAATAAGCAAACACAGACTGATGTAAGAACATAAGAATTCAAGCTATAACAAGTATGATGACTGCTCCAGGGCCCTTGTCTACTACTAACCTCTGTTGATTCCCAAGTCTCCATCCTGCCCAGCCTGGAACTCATCTACACCAGCAAATATCTTCTGACCAGGCTGTAGGCTGGGCAGTGTGATACTTTCCACAAAGTTGGATGGAAAGATTCCTTCTGCGCCATTCAGTCGACCTCGTAGCCAGTTGTCATCAACAACTTCTGTGATCTGTATTATGTCCCCTGTCAGAAGAGTAATCTCCCCTTTCTTGGAGGTTTCAAAGTCATAGAGGACCCTCACATGTTGTCCAATGGAGGGCCTCATCTGAAAACATTGAAACAAGTACTTTAACAGTGGGTGAGAAAAACTTTAAAGTTACATCAGCAGTTATTCAGCCGTATCGTGACCAAGGACTTTGAACCAAATGAATTTATTGGATGGGTTTGGGTTTTCATAGATATATTTTCCTTATAAGATGAGCAATATTGGATTAAAAGGTGAAGAAGTGGTGAAAATGGGCTGGGATAATGGTTGATGATACCAGGTGCCCCTTGAGGGGATTCTGGGTCTGACTTCTGGGTCCTAGCATCTCATGCTTGACAGAAGAGTTGACTAAAATGGTGACTGCTTGGCCAAGATTGATCATGTTGGTGACTTGTTTGTTTGTTTCTTTTAAACATAATTTATTCACAAAAGGTGAACCTGATTGGGTACCAGTTCTCAAACTTACGACACCTTCTACCAGATATTTACACAAGTGAGTTACAATTTGTAACATAAACAAGTAACAGTAGGAAAGAAAAGAGAACAGAGACAATGATATATATATAGTTTCCATAACATCTTTGTATTACATGCATTGACCTGTATATATACTGAGGGAAAAAATAAGGAATCACATGAAAGCACAAGTGTTCCTTTAATTTTTCCCCAAGGTTTCTTGACAAGCTTTGTATCGCATAGCTTGTGAATAAACGTGCTTTCATGTGATCCCATATTTTTTTCCCTCAGTATATTTGAAAATAGTTATATTTACTTGTTCAGGTAAGTCCTCATTTCCATTTAATATTACTGAGATCAAATGGTGTATTTGGGACTATGCCACTTATATTTCTAATTTCAGTTCAAAACAGTTTAACTGGTAACTCAGTCTGTCTGCTGAATCCTTAGTTGGGCAACTGTTGAAGACATTTTTACCACCTGTTCATATCAATTTTGGTTAATCTAACGGTTCCAACTACATCATTAAAACTCTATCAAAATCGTATGAACAACAAAGTTCACTAAAGTCAGCAAATACTGACCAAACATCAGCTATTATCAGCCAGATTCAACCTGTATCATTTAGCACTATTGTTGAAGCTGATAATATACTAACTCTGACAAATTGCTCTCACAAACTAATCAATGCAAGTCCTGAATGAGTGTATTGTTCAGCAAGCCCAGTGGTATCATATTCACATAATCGCATCTTACATGTTAAGATACCTTAGATTATACTTAAACATCATATCGCAGATAGCTTATGTAAAACTATATTTGCCTACTGACTGTGAACTGATATGTTATGACACAAAAGGGAGGACATGTTTATTTACAAGTAACAAATACAGATACAATGCAATTTCTTTAGTGTGGAATCCCTCCTACAGTATTACATACAGACAAAATGCCCACTATATATTACATCAACTTACAACTGTATCATGATACATATGAGGTGAGGTGAGGTGAAATTGGGCTTAACGTCGTGCTTGAGAATATTTTGCTCATATGACGACTTGCATGCAAGTGTATGTGCGGCTTCTTGTACTAGCCCAGACTTAAGCTGGTTTTATAGTGCTAGCCCACTGAGATACCATGCCACAGTGAAGCATGAATACCCCACTCAGACACATTATACTGACTCCAAGCCGAGCAGTCCTTGTTGTACCCATTAATGCCGAGCACCAGGCAGGGACCAACAAGTACCATATTTTAACGTCTTTTGGTATGACGCAGTTGGGGATAGAACCTGTGACCTTCCGCTCTCTGGGCGGCCGCACTAACCACTATACCACGGAGGCGGTCTGATGCATATGATACATTGAATTGCATGTTATATAGCTAATAACAACATGAGAATTATAACAAACTGTTCAACAAACAGCTTAGTATTTCCCACTTGGCTAGAAACTGCATAACATTCAGCATGTTTACAGTGCACTCTAGCCTACAGTATATGTTTGTACCAAGAATTGTCACATCTTCAATCTCTGAAATTTAAAAAAATCATTCAGGATTGTGATTCATTCACAAAAAGATAGATTATCTATTCATGAATTAAACATTATGTATCAGAACACAAACAGTATTGCAACCATGGAAAAGGGAAAAGGATAAAGACTTTGAACAAGAGACTGGCTTCAGATCAGTGGCTAATGTTATGAATTCAAACTGTACCCCATTCTTACCACATCAGCACCTCAATGTAATTAAGATGACTGTCCAAGAACCTCAACAATTCTATTCTTCAACTCACCAACATTTCAGTGTGACATTTTTTTAAAGTCAAACAGAGATGTCCTCTAACATTTCCACAAAACACACACAAATATGTCAAACATGAACAAGTTTGAAAACTAGCCCCCAACTCAACTTAAGGTTATGTTTGTACTAGGCAGACAACAAGGTTAAAAAAGGTAACACAATAAGACGCAAGGATTCTACATAGGCAGTGTTTGTGAGGCCATCAATGTGCGGCTACAATGTTACATGATTCCAAACATCGGGGCACCCCTGGCCTGGCGTGGGTGTTTTCTAGGCAAACAGTTCCTAGTTTTCTGTTTCCGCAGATCACATCTGCACCAAACAGGTTGCAAGTTTGCATTTGTATCAGCTATCTCCACAGTGCTAATCTCTTAGAAAAATCAAATTATCCATCATACATGAGAAAATTCAGCTTGCTGTTGTAAATAATGACTTTAGGCCAGACCAATTATATTTCTTGTTTTACGGAACCAACGTGTCGTATTTTTTCAATAATACAAAAAAAAATAAAATTAATTTCCCCACTTTTTTAGATTGTTTCTTACCCCATATACACTTCATAAATTGCCAAAAGTAAAATACTTTGAGTATTTAGAAGACATTTAGCGACATACATGAAACATTATGTCAGTTGTTTTCAACATGTTCCGAATATTACCTGTAACCATACGTGCTGCAGAGATTGCTTCAAAATGCTGAATCAGTATTATATCTACCTGGTAATATAACCTTGAGATTTTACTGATATAGTTTTCAGCCTAAACAAAATCTTCTTACTCCAAAATAATGTAAACAATCAACAGTGAATACAATGCATTATAAACACGGTCAAGTCTGACAAGATGCCTCTCTATTCAGTGTAGTCACTGTTCTTGTTGATGATACGATAATGAGACCTAGTGATATGAATACTTATGAATATAATTTTGCCAAGATACATGCGAGCTACTTAAGCTGCTAGATGAGATATTGTGGATATGACAGATAGAGTTACATGACACAGTGTCCTCACCTAGTTCCTAGGTATAGGTTGACAGAAGGAGGTCATGTTACCATGTTTATAATTCATTACAGTCACTGTATCTCTATAGTCTAATTGATAATACAAAAACTAAGAGGTTGACGTTGATACATGGAAGCTTCACAAATTTTAAATCAGCTTTTCTGCTCTCTTTATCTCTCTCATTCTGCTCTCTCTCTCTCTTTATCTGCTCTGTCTGTGTGTGTCTGTGTGCGTGCGTGTATCTCAGGGCATTTGATATTGTTTATGTCAACAGTGATCTGTATGAAACAAATAAACAATAAATAATCATAATCACATCTGACAACATAATTTTCTCAAACATAAGATCCCCAGAATCATACCTTTTTCCATTTAAGCTGGCTTAACTATAGATCATGTATGTTTAACCTTGCTGAATATAAATATTATAGTAATCACGACATAGTTGTACACGATATACATGGCACTATACTATTTCATATGACTGGGGTGGTCGGGTAGTCTAGTGGTTAAAGCGTTGGCTCGTCACGGCGAAGACCCGGGTTCGAATCCCCACATGGGTACAATGAGTGAAGCCCATTTCTGGTGCCCCCCCGTGATATTGCTGGAATATTGCTAAAAGCGGCGTAAAACCAAACTCAGTCAGTCAGTCAGTCATATGACTACTGACAATGACTGAGAATGAAGCACCTTTTGATGGATTTTACCTTACACTGTACTTCAACCAACATAAGTTGTGTTAATCAACAGCTGTTTTCGTGATTTGAAACCTGTGATTGACCAATCATATAATTGAGTATTTCCAAATTTATTATTTATTTTATTTACTAATACCACTGGATCTTAGTATTCCATCTGATGTGTCATGTAAAGATGGTCAAAGAGACTATGTGAATGATTTTATACTGTGCTGTATGGTTTACTATGTATATTGTGTTACAATCAACCTTTGTTACCAAGGTACCATGGATGTTCATCTATTGCCATAAACATGACAATCTGGGATAAGAAAACATATTTTCATAAACATCAAGTTTTAAATTTTGGGCAAATCCATGTTCTAACGATACACACAGGCCACAAAAAGCTCACACAAGGCCTCTTAGCAAGGATCCATTTTTTCAGTAACAAATATAATCATGATACAAATCAACTAAAAGTTCAAGTACATGCATCACACAGTTACATACAGAAAAGTAGAAATGGTATTGGTAAAGGTTTTCCATTTCATATTCATGTAATTCACAAGAGAAGCAATCACTCAAATACTGCTGTCATAAAAATAGCAATGAGTTACAAAAATAGATTTTTATTATTTGCATTAATCAGGTTTATATATCATTATTCTGTCAGCAAAACACTCATAGTAAATTATTTATCATGTTTACATACACACCATTTAACAATTTTACATCCTAATGTTCTCCCTTGTACTGTGCACATACTCATATGCATGACACATCTATTATCCTAATAGAGTGTTCCACAAGTTCCTGTGTCACTGATGCCCTGACCTCGGACACAGTGGCAGGAGAATGGGTCAAGCACTTTGTTCTGAAGGAAATCATCACTTGTCTAACAGAAATCCATTGACTGTCTATATGATATGGTTGTGACAAGTGAGGTGAGGTGAAATTGGGTTTAATGTCGTGCTTGAGAATATTTCGCTCATAAGACGACATGCATGTGTGTGTATGTGTGTCTGCTTGTACTAGCCCAGACTTAAGATGGTTTTATAGTGCTAGCCCACTGAGATACCATGCCGCAGTGAAGCTCAGACACTCAGACACATTATACTGACTCCGAGCCGACCAGTCCTTGTTGTACCCATTAATGCCGAGAGCCAGGCAGGGACCAACAAGTACCATATTTTAACATCTTTTGGTATGACGCAGTCGGGGATCGAACCCGCGACCTTCTGCTCTCCGGGCGGACACTCTAACCCCCCACTCAGACACATTATACTGACTCCGAGCCGACCAGTCCTTGTTGTACCCATTAATGCCGAGAGCCAGGCAGGGACCAACAAGTACCATATTTTAACATCTTTTAGTATGACGCAGTCGGGGATCGAACCCGCGACCTTCTGCTCTCCGGGCGGACACTCTAACCACTACACCACGGAGGCGGTCCGGTTGTGACAAGAGAAACATACATCTGAAAGAATCTATTTTGAAAGAAGTTGAATTTTTGAAGCATTTATGGTATACTACCCTGGTACCCAATCACCATATTACTTGACCATGCCTTGCTACCAGTAGAAGGTCTCAAGAGATCGGTACAAAATGTCAAACTAGGATACATTTTACCAGTGCCGTAAGAACTATTTAGATACATGTATAAAACAATCTGATCAGGCATACACTGAACTTAGAGCTTTAACCTTTCCTGATAAACACACAAGTCAGAAGGAATGGATTCATGATCACATTCGTGTAGTGCAGCTATGGAGCCTGGAGCTTTTGCTTTTGCGATAAAACTATATATTACGTGACTATGGTTCATGTTGTCCTGTGGGTACACACATATCATTCTCTGGGTACACATATCATTCTCAGGACACACCCGACCTTTGTACCCAAGTTTCGATACTCAGTTACTACAAGACACAATTAGCGGCACAATGAGCAATATGCAAGAAAGAACTGCAAGGATCATGTTGAACGTTGACAGGTGCTTTCATATTTCTGGATGTTTCCATGTCTTCCAAGTAAGAAACTCAATATAGACAACGGAATCTCAAACAATCTTAACTTCACATATTCGTGCTAAAGGGATGATAGTAGCCGTTTCAGCAGCCGAGAGCTCTCGGCTAGCTACTGTTTCAGATGATACTTCCTTTATCACAAAATGAAGTTTTCCCAGATTGAAATGCATAAGGAATTAAGCAAGGCAGATTGAAAACATGATACTTTCAAACGCATACACTGACGGCAGCATGTTGAGACCGCATGCTGTTTACCAAAACATAAAATGTATAGCTACACGTCCAAATTACGATTTCGTTTTCCGAAAAGATCCTGACAATATCGTGACCTTACTGCCATCCCCGCCCGAACTGATCAGCTGAAGAGCGAGTATAATTTGTAAATCAACATCGATTATCCATGCGTCAACAGAAACACCTGTCACTTGAAACTTTCTTGCAAACTTCCACTTCCCAGACACCGTGTTGACTTTGTTCACTGCAAGCTGGATTATTTTTTATAATTGTGACACTCAAGTAAGCTCGTTAATCACCTCCCCAGCGTAGACTTAGAGTTTCTTCCGTCGCGGGATATATACCCGACCTGACTACATTGCCATTTTACTTACTGTCGATGCTGAGAGTTGGAGTCACATCAGAAGTCCACTTCCTACAACACCTACTTCTATTTACGACGCCATGATTCTTTAGGCGACACCTGTAGGATGCATGGGAGGTAACTCCAAAATTCGTCTGCTGTTTACGAGTAGTTCAACTGCACAGGAACCCGTTATCGGCATGTAGGTTAAACATAGACGATAGATCTACACGCACGTCACTTATATAAATAGAGTATATGTGACGTGCGTGTAGATCTATCGTCTATGTTTAACTTACATGCCGATAACGGGTTCCTGTGTTCAACTGACAATGTTTCTCATGGATGTTTTTCACCATTGCACTCATCGCTGTTCTGCCTCCCACTGCTTAAGTCGCTTTTCTAATCAATGTACATTTTATGTATACTGTATAGTCCATTTAAACGTTTTCGTTTTTAATGAGTCAATCGAACAATCTCAGGATTCTGTTTTTATCAATTAATGGCCTTCGCATCATTAAACATGATACACACTGCCAAATTATTCGTATACGTTGTAGTTTCGTAGACGTTTTCATGTAATGAAACTCTCAATTTAAGTCAAATAGATTTCAATTCGATTGTGTTGATGTGTCAGTCAAATTGGAGGAGGTCGATTGTGTTGATGTGTGGCGAGGAAAAAACATCGCAAATAGAAAATCATCTTGGCGGCATGGGACGTTGCTCATCAGACGATTGTCTGGCCCAGATCATACAATATATACTGTTCGTCATTGGAATGTTGCTGAGTGTTGCGTTTTCAAAAAGTACCAAGCACCTGTTTGTACCTGTGGAGTGTGAGGATAACGTATAAGCTGGAAGCGCTTGTAAAACTCCAGGTAAGATACCAACCTGAAACCGTTTCAGATCCCACTGATAAGTGTATACCTCTGAAAGGAGGTCCCTTAAATTGAACAATAAGTATACTGCTGAAAGGAGGTCTCTTAGATTTAACAATAAGTGTATACTGCTGGGAGGAGGTCCCTTAGATTAAACAATGAGTGTATACCGCTGGGAGGAGGTCCCTTAGATTAAACAATGAGTGTATACCGCTGGGAGGAGGTCCATTAGATTAAACAATGAGTGTATACCGCTGGGAGGAGGTCCCTTAGATTGAGCAATAAGTGTATACCGCTTGGAGGAGGTCCCTTAATTAGATTGACCAATAAGTGTATACCGCTGGGAGGAGGTCCCTTAGATTAAACAATAAGTGTATACCGCTGGGAGGAGGTCCCTTAGATTGAACAATGAGTGTATACCGCTGGAAGGAGGTCCCTTAGATTAAACAATATGTGTATACCGCTGGGAGGAGGTCCCTTAGATTGAACAATATGTGTACACCGCTGGGAGGAGGTCCCTAAAATTAAACAATGAGTGTATACCGCTGGGAGGAGGTCCCTTAGATTAAACAATAAGTGTATACCTCTGGGAATAGGTCCCTTAGATTTAACAATAGGTGTGTGCCGCTGAAAGGAGGTCTCTTAGATTGAACAAGAAGCACATATACTGCTGAAAGGGGGTCTGATAACGGTGTGATAACCAAGACGTAGATAATCATAAGCATCTTGACCCTTCAATTAATTGTTACTGGGATATTCACATAAACTCTATGAAACGAAAGTTAGCCCACTGATTAAATGCTCAAGAAGTTTGAAATATCGATTATCGCGTAAAAGTTTAGAAATTATCTACAAATCTTTCATCTTTACCGACGACATATGCCAGATCATTTCTACCTGATACAATAAAACTGTGGAAATCCCTAAGTTCGGAAATTCAAAATATTGATACTTTATCCCGATTCAAAAACTCGATATTAAGACAATATAACAAAACTATTATTTTTGATCTAAACTGATTTGATTTGAATGCTGATAGGTTTGATAGACATCATCGACAGCCCCTCGTGCTCATGTGGACATCCAGTCGAAAATGCTGTGCATTATTTCTTTACATGCAATAAATACACGGAATTAAGACAAAAATCATATTTCTATTTAAAGGGGTTTAGTATCAACAATGTACTATGGGTATCAACACTGTACTATGGGTATCAACACTGTACTATGTACATTGAATGTTAACAATTAATTGTTAATGTTCATCAATTAATCATGATGACAACTTATTGTTAATCCTTATTAAAATCTTGATGATGACAAATGATGATATCAACCTTCATTAAAATCATTCTCTCAGTCTTATAGCTGTGTGTTGTTATGTCTCTTAAGTGGATTAGTCCATTGTATGGAATAGGTAACAGGCAGGGGATTAACAGTGCAACAGACCGTAAACTATGTTGTTGTAAGCTGTGGGGGTAGTGGTATGTAGGGGTAATGGGGGGTTACCGCTGAAAGGGGGTCTCTTAGATTGAACAATTAGTGTAATCCTCTGAAAGGAGGTCTCTTAGATTGAACAATAAGTACATATACTGCTGTGAGGAGGCTCTTAGATTCTCTGACTCTCTCAGTGCACTACAGTCACTGGCAACTAAGCATTCGAGCAGTAGACCTGACACCATCCGAGACATTTTGGTTGTCATTCAGAAACTAAAAAGGGAAAATGAGAAAGAGATAACACTGTGCTGGATACCATCTCACATAGACATTCCCGGTAATGAGAGAGCCGACAAACTAGCTAAACAGGCGCTAGAATTGGACGTGTCACTGGATCATCCTTACTCAAAAAGCGAAATTCGAAGTATGATCCAAGGTTCGATCACTAGCAAGTGGCAGAGGCAATGGGACACCTCAGACAAAGGCAGATGGTATCATGGACTCCGCCCCAGTGTGAAAGGGACGCGAACTACTCCCTCACAAAACAGGCGAGTCGACATCATGATCACCCGCCTAAGACTAGGTACCACCAAAACCTCATATAAAAACTGTCAAACATGCCACACCAAAGCTACAGTCCCTCACATTATGCTGGATTGCCAACGGTTTGACACAACCAGGCAAACACTCAGAGAGGAAACAGGGCTAGGTACATTGACAGCCAAGAGGCTGCTGGCTCCCACGGAGCACCTCGCAATGTACAGACCGCTAGCCAATTTCCTCTTGGAAAGTGAACTATGTCAGTATATTTAAAAAGAAATTATATCAATCAAGCCAGTCTTCAGTTTGTCCGAGGGCGCCAAGGAGATTATACCACCCAAGCTCCTGACCTCAGAGGACCAGCCCAGCCAGAACACGCCGGTCGCACAGCCTGTCATCATGCCCGGTTGCCAGACTGGCACGCCAGTCCACCATGCGTCCCAAAGAGGGACAACACATGCGTCCCAAAGAGGGTCTTGAAACAGGGAGTGGCCGTGTCCACCCCCTAGGGAAACAGCAGGGGAGTGGCCGTGTCCGCTCCCCAGGGTGAGTGAGCAGAATGAGAGCAAGGGAGTGGCCATGTCCACCTTCCAAGGTGAGAGCAAGGAATGGCCATGTCCGCTCCCCAGAGTGGAAGAAGGAGTAAAAGCAGGGGAGTGGCCGTGTCCACTCCCCAGAGTGATAGTAGTGACAGCAGGGGAGCGGCCGTGTCTGCTCCCAAGAGTGAGAGTAAGGGAGCGGCCGTGCCTGCCCCCAGAGTGACAGCAGGAGAGGGGCCGTGTCTGCTCCCCAGAGTGAAAAGTGGGGGAGTGATAGTAGTCACAGCAGGGGAGCGGCCGTGTCTGCTCCCCAGAGTGACAGCAGGGGAGCGACCGTGTCTGCTCCCCAGAGTGACAGCAGGGGAGCGGCCGTGTCTGCTCCCCGGAGTGTGAGAAGGGGAGTGGCCGCGTCCACTCCCAAAAAAAAAAAATATATATATATATAGTGTATGTTCACACAACACTCGTGTACTTACACCCACGCGTCCCAAAGAGGGACAACCATGCGACCCGAAGAGGGTCACACAAGCTGGGACAGCCATGTCCTGCCATGCGTCCCGAGGTGGGACACACCAGACCAGCCCCAAGTGTCCCAAGGAGGGACGCTCCGGCCCAGGCCCAAGAGTCCCAAGGAGGGACACTCCGACCCAAGCGCCCAAGGAGAGACGCCCAGACCCAACGCCACCAAGACAACCCGGTCCTGCCCCATGAGTCCCAAGGAGGGACATCGCCACCACACCCACGAGTCCCAAGGAGGGACACCCCATGCATCCCAAGGAGGGATAGGTCTGCCGACATGCCAACCGGCGAAGGCGACCTCAAAAGCACCTAACACAACAACAACGGCTCTTAGATTTAGTAACATGTGTATACCGCTAGGAGGTTTCCTTTTTAGAACTTATAACATATCCAGAGTAATGAACAAATGAAATACACAATGCCATTTTTAGAAAGTTGTCAAATGTAACATATGTTATATTTGGGATTACACTTTCTTAGTAAAGTACAGATTCTAGTACAGTTTTGGGGGGGTTGAGTGATGGCACTCAACCCCAAAAAATGTACTTGAATCTGTACTTTACTAAGAAAGCGTAATCCCAAATATATCACCCATCACTCAACCCACAAAAATGTACTAGAATCTGTACTTAACTAAGAAAGTGTAATCCTAAATATAGCATATGTTATATAATGAACAAATGGCCTGAGTGAGAGAGCATGGTTTTACGACGCATTTATCAATATTCCAGTAATGTCACGGCAGAGTACACCAGAAATAAGGGAAAACAGATTCCTGATTAGACTGTAGACAAGGCTACTAATGACTAGCATTATCTTAAATCTGAGAAACACCATTGCATGCTCGCGTTATCGTTTCCAACAAGTACTCCACGTCCATCAGAGACGTCTGGTTGTTATCACACAATTCATGAAATGTTCCTCGGATTTGTTACGTTATTATTTTTATGATCTATCCACGGCACTGCTTCAAGTATATTCTTGTATGACACTTCCTATCTGTCTACCCCGAATACCACAGTGGAGATAATGCACTTTACACAGCTTGAATCAGTATCATTCCATGATCAAAGCAGTATACATATTGATGAACATTTTCCTTCATCATTCTGACAATGGTCGCATCTTCTTCCTTGACCTAGTCTGTCTCCTAGGCCCTAAAGTATATAAATTGTAAAGCCGTCCAGCTCAAGTCCATACTGTTTGGACAAGTCTCCAATGCATCAGTGATAACTAAGAATTGTATTGGGCTCTTTGAGGATTTTATGTATATTTTTAGAT